GTACGGTACTCGAGTACGGTACTGTACTGTACCGTACCGGTGCGAGCCACCGTTTCTGCATTATTGCGAAAGCGATATTGCGAATTTTTGTCATGGTTTGATGTCACCACGCTCAAGCAGAGCAGGGAGATGTTTTCGTGCAAGCAGCAAGACGGGGAGGAATCCCGTATTTTGCGGGTTAACCTGTCCGAAATCACCAGTTCACTTTCGATTGGGCAGTCGGGCGTATGTATAGTTGAGCCACGGCAGTTACAAGTATCTTCTACGAGTACTTGTACTACAGTAAGACAGCAGACAACCCGAGGGAGGGAGCACTGCTGCTCGAGTACCGGCACGTGCATGGAGGCGCACTAATACCGGTGTCGTAGCTGTAATAGGTATAATAAGCGAAACGGTATTGTGCTCCACGGCACCGTAAAGACCGGACCGAGAGATTAAATGTTCCTTCCTTTTTTTTCTACTCGTACAAGAAGGTAAGGGAAAGTGATCGATCATATTGCTTGGTTCTAGTCGATTAAGGAGGCGATATCAAATTACGGTATGTTGAGTAATACAGTAAGGTGGTGGCTAGAAGGAAGGTACTGTACGAGTACTCGTACATTTGTCCCTGTAATATATTCTATCTGGGAAGTGCGGTATCCTACGCATATACTGAGTAGTGCTCAGTATAGTTACGGAAAATGAAGAATATTACCGGCAAGCTAGTTGGGGGTTCGTTGGAGTTACTGTCCCTTGCCTTCCTGTGCGCGTAGAACACCGAATGCTAACGGCTGCCATCGATCGATCAACCCAGAAGACAGACAGGAGGACAAAAAGCAGACAACTAGACAGAGGCTTAACTTCACCCCCGATAGTTACCACATACCAATCCGATCATCCGCCCATAAGCGCCGATACCGATAAAGCACCGTGAAATGATACTCGTATCCCCCGATTCAGTGCTCGTACAGGACGTGACCCTGAAACAAACAATCCGATTTAAACGTTTACTGCGCTGGTGTCAGCACCTAAAAGCGGAAGAGGAGAAAAGAAAAAAAAGAAAAGAAAAGAACAGTACAGTACCGTCGAATCGAATGTGATCTGGTGAATCCCGGTGTGGTGTGAGTAGCAGGCCCCAAAGATAACAATTGTGCTACACTGACGTTTCATTCAACGCCCTTCTTTCCTTATTCCCACTGTCTGGTTCGGGTGTATGGAGTTGCTTTTTTCTTTCTCTCCTTCCTTTTTTTCTTGCTCGGGCTGGGATACGAGTTCCAACTGCATTGGTCATTCGTATGGAGTTTATTGCACTGTCCACGACGATGATAATACTCGTGGAGCGGGAGTAATGAGCAGTTAAGTACCGAATGCTTCTACTCGAGTACCGTATGATACCGCTACGGGTACTTGTACTCGGTACCGGCATGTTTGGGCAAAGAGGTTAAGTTAAAAGCAGTCAATTGTTTCCCGACAGAGTTCCCATGGGAATGGGGTGTGTGCGGGAAACACGCCCGTTCCCGTAAAATCTCGTGTGATACAATCCACTGTCCCCGTCGAGCCTCTAATCTCCGGGTTCCAAGACAAAACATCTCGAGAAGGAATAGTGTTTTTTACGTACTCAAGTACTGTACTGTGCTTAGCTTGGGCGAGCCGAGCTTGCTAGATCTCATTAACTAGTGTTGATAATTTGTCAGCTCGCTCCGCTAGGCGTATCATAGTTTAGCTCTGTTGCTTGTGCGATGGCGGATTGAACTCGTAAACACAGTAAAGTACGGTACCGGTATGGGGCAGGATAAAGTTAATGAATGGTTAATTTAGATTAACTTTCTGTGTAATTCCTACCCTGTACGAGTACCAACTACCTGTAGTGCATGTACGAGTACAAGTACTACAAGTACTGTATTAAACTTCTCCCTTTGCACTTCCACAAGTATGATATCTCCTTTCGTATTTCTTGGCCTCGGGTGCTTCCGAGTTGAGAGTGGGGGAGAGAGCGGTTGTGTGAGTGGGAGTGGGAAAAAGAACCTGGAAGGGTCAAAGTCATCACGGGTTGGGCAGACGGAGCCAACTCAAATTAACTTATGCTGCACAGCAGTCGCTTAGACGTTGTCCTGTGCTGTGCACTGCGTAACCGAGGGTTGTTGCGGGGGAGGGAGTTATTGCTGGGGTAGGTATAAATTGTTCTGCAAGCATGCATACAGTACTCGTACTGGATTGACGCGCGAGGTCACGTTTTTTGTTTTTTTGCACTCAACGTGTGAAGGGGGGCAACGTTGGGGAAGGGGAAGGGGAAGTGCCGTGATGAGGAAAAAGGAGGAGCAGGCTCGATAAGTCGTCATTTCCAGCTATTCTACAGACACAGGTCCACCTTCCTGATGGAATAAAACATCCAATGCGCAGTGGGAAGAATACCCGCTGGTACATTTATGATAACATGTTGAACCAGTTTTTTGGGACTTTCAGTGGTGGGAGTGGTGTGTCTCATCCAGAATTGCCAGCTTCTCTCGAGCTGACGGTAGGCCTTCCTTCTTGGTTATAACCTGTGGGGGTAAGTACGAGTAAAGTTGAACTTTGAGGTCTGTGGACCTTTCCTTTTCAGCCCTGCTAATAATAATGTATGATAAGAACACTAACTAGCACTTTTCTGCTTCGTTCTCGCTTTCTTTCTTTATTCTCCTCCTTCTGCTTCCCTTTGCCTCAATTTATTTCTTACCTTTGCGGGTGAAAACAACCAGGGAGGCGCACATGAGCTGAAGCACTAGTACAAGTCGAAATGGCTTGGCATTTCCAGCCTGAATCTCTGCGAATAGAAGCCCATGATGATGATGGTGATGAAGATGGTGAATCTATTGTGCGATGGATGATAAAGTCTGTCTTGTTACGATAGGACCACTGCTGATACACCTGTTAATTGGGGTTGGTTGATTTGGAAGTGACCCCCTGTTTCGGGTACTCGAGTATTACACAACACCCGAATAGGTCTGTGCAGCACTCGCCAAATTTCGATTCCTGGTCTGTTTGATTCCCGTTATTCCTTAGCGGTGCGGTACATGATTTCCCTTTTTGTCCTCCCTTTTTTCCCACTGGGGGCACCAAATCAGTTTTAAGAGCACCGGTAGGGGATAGGAGTGAGAATTCGGTAAAGTGTTAGTACTGGACCGGTAACTCAGAGGAATGGATGGGAAGGGATGAATGAATCGATACCGGTCGGTGATGGGATGGGGATGTGATGGGACTGGATTGGATTGGACGAAAAAAAAAAATTTTATGAAAAAAATGAAAAAATCAAGCTTCAATCTTTCTCTTTCACCCCTTTACCCCTCCCCTTTCTCCCTACCTCCCTCCCTCCCTCTCTATTCTTACTCACCTTAGAGGCTGCAGGACTCCAGGGTAGAGAGGTACAGAGCGTTCTGACGGAGGTACCGTACTGTAGTTTATTGGGAAGGAGTGGACATGGCATTGAATTGAAGATTGGTGGAAAAAGAAAGAAAAAGATCTCATCACCACCAATCCCTTGAACTCGGTACGTGCATTCTGATACTCTTCCCCGACGCACCTTCTTTCACTCGTGTCCTATCGTTGGAATCTCCCTTTCCATTTCCTCGTCCGTGTCCATGACGACGATACGGTATTCACATTAGCTTTGCTCACCTACTGACTGAGCACCGCTGCTGCATCTTCTGTAGAAATTGAAACCCGCCCTTCCTTCCCACTCTTCGTCCCATCCCCCTTCATAGCATTGTCCCCTACCTCTTCCTTCCTATTCCTACCTACACATACCACCCTGAGCTCCTCGCTCAGTCTCCTTCTGTATCCAGGTGTACTCCCTCCAGAATCTCGAATTCTTGAAACGCTCTTTCGCTTCCGAGCCAATTCTCCCTGTCCCGTTAATCCACGCTAATCCTGGGGTCCTTCTGCTGCAGGATCCTACACTGCACAAGCATCCCAACTGACATCCTGCCAACCATCATCCCTCCAGCAAGCGCGCGTGTTCTCCGAAACCCCCCAGCTATTCTCGACGACCTGAGCAACTACGGTGCCCACCAAACAGTTTCCCTCGAACCAGCTCCCCCAGAGTACAATAAGCTTAATGCTATAGGCGACCCATCTCAATTAACCTATCCGTGGCAGTTCAAAAAAGAAAAGGCCCTTTCGAACCAGTTAGACGCGGAATTACAATCGTGAGGGGAGCAGATCGGAATTCTAAGACCGCAAGAGGGCAAAAAAGGGAAAGGAAAAAGAAAATAAAAAAAGTTGTCGATGCAGTGTCTAATTTTGTCGTTGCTGTCAACGACCTTTTAGACACCTTTCCTATCGGAAGGGAGCGAAGGGAGCTTTTTAGCGGTACCGAAGGCGATAAAAAAGAGAATCCGACGGGTAACTGCTGCCTCGTCTGTGCTCTTGCCGTCTCTCCAACGGATTAGCATCACCACTTGTTTCGTTTTCGGTTTCGTTTCCCTTCTTCAGCGTTCCGCTTTATTTCTCGTTGCGTGTTGTATATTTAGGGGATATTGGTTTGACGGTGCTATACCTTCGTACTAAGGAGAAGGTTTCATCCGGAACTGGTTCTGTCCGGCTCTATTCAATCAGTCGGCTAGCCGTCAAGTTTTTCTAGTCTGTTTGGTTCAATTGACTTGGACATGTAAGTTTCCCTTGCGCTTGAGCTGCAAGTGTTAGTCGCTTTTACTGACCTGACCTACCCTGACATAGCTTACCTAGCATTTGCGCTGCACCGATAACCACTACGGGACGGGGGTTTTTTTTTTTTTTGTCTACTCAGTGGTGAACTGGTCCATCAAATCCAAAAGTTATAAAATAGATCGCTGGAAGAAGAAAAGACTACTACTTAGACACGCTTGTTCGTATCTCTTGCTGTTTTTGGGGCGAAATTGCCTTTCTTTTTGCCAACCCACCTAAGAACCGCCGAGGGAGCTCTCTACCCTAACTCCCGTATTTCCACCAGTTCTGACTGATCTGCCGCCACTATTACCACTCCTACAACAACAGTACATGCCAATCCAATGGACGATCGATTTTTATCTGGGGGAGCTCTCTCCGAGATGGACGCGGATTATACAGACTATGCCACCGAGGCTCCGTTACCGTCACCTGCTGGTACTCCCTACAGGACACCGCTTCTATCAAGGCATCCTAGCCGTCATGCGACTCCATCCCCATCCCCATCACCCTCTCCGTACCCTCTCTCTAGCAGTCCTCCCACGACAAATGGTCGAGCGTCTCCGCTTCGCCGTATGAGCATGTCTCATCATCACGACACCTTTGACGACACAATATCAATTCTCGACCCCCGCCGGTTCACGCCCACCCTTCACGCCAACCTTGTTGCTGAGATTTTGTCGTTACGGAGAGACTTGGAATCTAAAGCGAACCTCATCGATACATTGGAACATGATTTATCGGCTGCGAGGTCAGAGCACGAAACTGCTACTACATCTGCTGCCATGGCGCAGCGGGAAGCAAGGGATGTGAAACGTCAATTGGCTAGAGTCGAGAACGATGACGCTGTTGGGGCTGTAGCTAGAGAGAGAGATGAAGCAATTGAAGCCAATGCTGAGCTTAAACGACAAATGGAACGGCAGGCCAAGAAGGCGCGGAGCTTGGAGGAAGAACTTGAAAGGGTCGAGACAATCGCAAGGAGGGATATTGAGAGGTTGGAGGATATAAATAGAGTTCAAGAGCGGCGAGTTCATGTCGCCGAAGGCCGGTTAAAAACAATTTTGGGCGAGATATCAGCTGCGAACGCTATGCCACCACCACCTCCGTTACCTATGCCTCAGTCTGAATCTGAGAATGAGGATCCTGCCCCCTCGGAGGTCGCCATGAGCGATACAGCAAGTATCAGAACTAGCATTCAAGAAAGGCCAAGCAGTCTGGTGATGGGTGACGACGTTGCTGAGCGCCTGGGGATCAGATTTTCTATATTGACTGGTAGTCAGGGGTTGAGCTTGGCGGACGAGCTTGATCTGGATGATGGCGAGGAGGGAGACGAGGAATACGAAGGTCATGAGGAAGAGGATGATGACGATGACAATAGGACAGAGACCGAAGCTGAGGCTGCCGGTAATAATGACTCTGGTTGCAGTAGTGGCTCGGAAACCGGAGATGAGGGGGATATTCAACCCATGCGAGAGTATTGCGAAGCGGGTGTCCAGGTGGAAGAGGAAGAAGAGTCAGGTGAAGAAATGGAGCGACCGGAGATTGTCCTTCTCGAAGAGGCCCGTACCGAACTTGGGCGAACCCATTCTGAGCTCGACCGAAAATCTTCTGAGTTGGAGAAAACCTGTATAGAACTCGACAAAGCTCAGGAGAGGATTGGGGAGCTTGAGGAGCAGGTTGATGGGCTTGCTGAGAAGGTTGCTGAGAAGAAGCGTGCTTTGGCTGATAAGGAGATTGATCACGGGCACAAGATCAAGGTGTTTGAAGCTCGAACCCGTGAAGTCGAAGAGCGTTGGGCGTCCATTGAGTCGAAGGAGAGGGCACTCGAAAAGATGGAGAAGTCTCTTGATGAGAGAACAAAGAATCTCGATAAGAAGGAGAGAATGCTTGACAACAAGGAAGCCATTGTCACACCCATTCCTGATTCGCCTGTGGAGAAAGAGCTCCCAATCCTCCCTCTTGACGACGATAATGTTCCTGCGGAGAACGATGCTCACGTTCAAAGAGAGTATGAAGCCAATCAGGGACGAAAGCGAGCTGCTGGCGTTACATCCCCTCCCCCACATCACCCGCCCCCGACATATACATCTATTGAGACTCAGACCGAGCCCGTCGAGGAGCCCATTGAGGAGCCCATCGAGGAGCCCATTGAACGGCGACCACCAACACCACCTCCCAAGTCGCCTACTCTGTCACCTCCAGTGATGTATGAGACTATTGGAACTCAGACAGATCCGATGAAGCCACCGGCTCTACAGATCATTCCAACGATTGCAGTTACCCCTCCACCACCAACACCGCCTCTCCCTGGGCGGCCGAAGGTTCCGATGAGAAATGCTGCTGTTCAGACACGTAATCTCAGGCAAAAGACTCGGGGAATGCAGACAGACGAGCCCGCCTTTGAAGATCGTATCATGAAGCTGCCCGCAAGGTTAATGCCTGCGGCAATCCTGGCCAATAACAACTCTGCTCTTTCTGTGGCTTCTCCGACACAGCCTGAACAACCACCACCGAGCCCTCCCAAGAAGAGTTCCAAGAGAAACATTAAGAGGATACCTACCATGGCTCCTGCATTAGCTCCCGTACCTACCTCTGCACCTAGATCCGTTCCAGATAGTCCTGGTCCCCCCGGAACTGCTCTTATATATAGTTCCCCCAAGGCGCCTTCTGAGTTTGGAGAAACCTCGGAGAAGGACAAGGATAGTGTTCGAAGACACTTATTTAATGGGATTGATCTGTCACATGATCTTCCACAGTCTTCCGGTGATGATGACTTCCACGACGATGCAGATCTCAGCGGTAATGAGTTCAAGACTGCGCTCTCTGCACCAAAGCCCAAGAAGAGGGGGGATCGGATCAGCGGTCTTGGTAGGCCCTCCCCCGTTATTGAGGGCACAGACGGTATTATCTACGAAGCGTATAAGAAGCCCACAAATATCCGTCGTAGCGCTATGGTATCTAGTGGTGTGCATGCACACCACCGCACTAGGAGCCCAAGTCTGACTAGCAACCGGACGAGTGAGAGTGGCGGTCCTAAGATTGGACCGCCTTTCCCTGTGCCCATTAGACATAGCTCTAGAAAGGTGGGAGGTTATGTCAGTTCTAGGACCGAAAGCCCAACACCCATGTCTGCCAGTTTGCCTAGGCGAGCTCTTCCCCCCGGACGACCTACAAGGCAACAGTCAATACGTAAGGTTCGTTCTGCAGCTGCTCTCCCAAGTCTTCGGACCTCCAATTCTAGGACCAGGTCACCTCCTCCCCTCAGTGCTTCCTCAGCAGCTCCTGACAGTCCCCTCCTCCCCCCCCCTTTACCTAGGGATGAAGTACTTGCCCCTGCATTTGATAAGCAAAAGATTGGATCTTCCAAGCATAAACACCAGGCTAGCACGAATACCTCCAATACGGGCAACGCTTCAATTGGAAGCTCGATTCAACAGATTAGTGTAGTAGATGCGATTGCGCAAACCATGGTTGGCGAGTGGATGTGGAAGTATGTACGCCGGAGAAGGTCCTTTGGAGTTCCGGATTCCCCTCAGGCCTGGGATGGCAGAGACGAGAGCACCACTGGTGGCGGTCAACGACATAAACGATGGGTCTGGCTCGCACCTTATGAGAGAGCTGTTATGTGGTCCAGTCGGCAACCCACCAGCGGAAACGCCTTGCTCGGGAAGAGTGGCAGAAAACGTAAGCGATCAATCCTTCAACCCCCCGCCGGCCTCTCCCTGGTTCTGGATAAGGTACTGATGAACAAAGTCCCCATCCAATCTGTCTTGGATGTGAAGGATGATACACCATTACCCAAGGGAGCCAATCCAGCGCAGCCGCTATTCAATCGAAGCATTCTCATCTTGACACCCGCAAGGGCTCTCAAATTCACCGCTCCGAACAAGGAGAGGCATTACGTTTGGTTGACGGCTCTGAGCTTTTTGTCCCATTCTGCCCATGAGAGTGAAGGCTTACTTGCCCTCCCACCTCCTATGCCGTTTGAGTATGATCAAATGCAGCAGCAGCGGCCGCAGTCGCCGCCGTTGACTCGACCGCCCATTCCACCCGTTCCCGTGAACCGCGACCCACCATTCAATCCTATTCGAGACTCGATACGCGTAGCTAAGGGCAAAGGCCGTTCGAGAACCAGTCGTTCGGAAGTAAACGGGTACGCGGGAAGCAACAGTCTCGGGAGGAACTCGCGTCGGGATGTCGACCGCCACGGTCTCATGACAACTGACAGCATAGCTGAACCACCCAGCATCCCCCGATTCCCTGGTCACAGTCGCAAACGCAGTAATACGGCCCGACCAAGTACAAACCGCTCGATAAGCCATGGATATAACCCGAGTCTGCACTCTTCCTTTGGGGGCTCATCAAATGGAGATTACTATCCGCCTGGATCAATGGGTGTCGGCGGAATCGGGCTCATAAGCGGGAATAGCTCTTTAAGCCATGGAATCCCAGGACCGAGCCTCGGAGGATGGGAATCTGGATCAATAGGCACTGTCCGAATGGAAGCATTTATTGACCCGAAACCGAAATTCGAGTTTGACGAAGAGGACGAGTACCTGGGCAATAAGCCAAGCTCTTATCGCCTTAGGAGGGACAGGAGAAGTAGCAGGCAGGAGAGCTACTGGACCCGGGGCGGAGATTTTTATGCTGGTGGAAGCGAAGCTGGCAAGGGGAGTGTTATTGGCGGGAGCATTGACGACGACTTCTTCCGCGGTGATGATCCCTTTCGTGAATTCTGATTTACCTGTACCATAGGTTTACTTTTTTATTTCTACTTTTCCCTTTACCATTCATTACCTGTTCTCCCTTATCGCCATTTGAAAGTAGTCTTTTTCTACCCGCATCCATCTATACCGCTCCTTCACCTCTCTATATATTTCGATTTTCCCTCTTCTCCTTTTTGTCATCTTTTTGGGCTGGCTGGGTTGGTTCGTCGATCTTTTGAAGAGTTTTTCTTCTTCTCTTCTCTTCCTTTTCCTATCGTTATCATATTTCATTATGGGTCGGTGCTATGCTGGTAATTTTTCTATCTACAGTACATATCTGGGGTATACCGGGGGACTAGCACAGTATCTATACAGTTATTAATAAGTATCATAGTCTAGCGAGGTGAGGCTTCAAGATGATGTAAGATAACAGACCATCCAAGTGCTCGAGTATTGGGAATGATTGAATACTCGAGCACTATCATATTGAATTCCTAATGTTTATCTTTATTATGTCTCTGACGTATTTTGCCTGCTTGTGATACGGTGCCATAAGTTACTTGTAGAATACGGTAATTTACCGTTGTGGAACTGAGTGATGCACTCACCCACCGCCGATCATCAGCCACCACTCAACTCCAAATGCCGAAGCGCCACACCCTGATGCGCTGTTCGAACCCATTTTTCCCCTTCCCTTCCCCAATCCCGCTCGGCCGCATTTTTTTTGATTTGGCATTATTACGATATCTTTTATTTTATTTTTTCTCTCTTTTCCCTTCCCTGCTTCCGCTTCACATATAATGCTTTCTTTGCTTTTCCCTTTGACTCTCTTCCGTTTGTCGGTTGGGCTGTTCACAGCTTGGGCTTTGGGAAGCATGGCACGTGTTTTTCGCGTGTGCGTGTGGGCAGTAAGCAGGGCGGACAGGGCAGGGCGGGCAGGTAGCAGGGAGTGGTCGGAAGGGAGGTTTGTGACTTTATTTTAGTCATTAAGATACGATATTGTAAGTTACGGTTTCATGGAGATAGGAGCGGAGAAGGGGAGAAGGAGAGAATGAGGAGATGAATTGGATCGAGGTGATGACTAAGCGGAAGTCACGTGATTGTGGAAGAAGTCAACTGATATCTATGTATGGATGCTGTGGACTATCGCGGTAGGTGGTGGATTGGATGAGCCGGTAGCTGTAGAGAGAGCGTGTTTGCAGCATTTGGTGATGTTTTTATTTTTATTCTTATTTTTTGTTGAGGCGGTAGGGTGTCCTATCATGTCAGTCTACAGTTTCTCTGTCCGTTCGTCTTCCGTTCTGCTGCCTCAAACACGGCATTCACTTGGCCTGGCCCGGTCTGGTCTGGTCTGCCGGGAGGGAAACCCTACCTACACTTTCTTTTCTCCCCTTCACTTTTCACCTTCTCACTCTCACACTTACTCACTCATTCACTCGCTCTTTTCATCGCTCGTTACATCCTCGAACACTGCTTCTCTCCATCCTATCCTGACCCCCATCCTCTGCTACAACACGATTCTGCTAGTATCATAGTGTATCCAAAGTGTTGGTTTTTATTCCCCAGCGGATAAGACAAATCGCTCCCTATCGGGGCGGCTCGGCTGGCAGACAAGCGAACGAACGAACTAACTCACACACTTCCCCAATCCATTCATCCATCCATCACATCATATTACACCTTGAAGCACTGCTTTTCTTTTCTTTTCTTTTTTTCCTACTCTTATTTCTCGACAAAGGTACGTCGGTGAACTCTCTCTCTTTGTTTTTGTCCCGTTTAACTTATCGTTTTCGCGGAATCCTCATCCCTTCCTTGTCTATACTCTTGGACATTTCCGCCTCTCTATCTACCTACCCGACCACCCACGAGAGCGAGGTAGCTGTTTTACCCTTTTTTCTTCTTCATCATTTATTTTTTTCATCTCGGTTCAATCTTTATACCCGCATGTTTGCTAAGGTAGAAAGCATTGGATTCGAGTTTTACTCTTCTTTTCCTTCTTTCCATCCTCCTCATCTATACGACTCCCCTCCCCATTTGGCGTCTTTGGGTGTTGGCTAGACCTTCTCGTTGGCAACGACAAGCATCTGGTTTTTGGGCTCCGGAGACATCATCGGTTTACTTCTGTCCTTCTGTGACCCTACCCAACCTATCTCCCAATACCTACTTGCTATCTATCTACCTCCCACCCATCTGCCTACCTGCCTCCATACCTACCTCCCCCATCTCCCAATAATCCTCCTAAAACAAAACATCCCCTCGATCAGACATAAACCTCTACCGAGCACGCCACCACGGCTTACGTTGCCATAGCTAGAATTCACCTCCTTTCACGTCAATCCAATTGCTTCCATCTCTTTCTATATCCCTCTCGCTATTCATCCCGCAGCAACGCAGCATCTCAATTGACGATCTATTAGCCGAACATTTTCGTCTCGTTGTAACGAATCCTGTACGTGTCCTACTCCTCTATCCTGTTCTGTTGCCTTCTTCGACAGTATACTTTCTGTAGTTCGAGATTTTTTCTCGCTTCCCTCTCTGCTAGCTCTCAGGGGAGGCATTTTCCTTCCTTTGCCCCCACGGTTCGGGTTTAGAGTTTTTTTTAGGGGGGTTTTTTTTTTTGGATGGGTATCTAACATGAGACATGCGTGTAGGTATTCCTGCTTTTTCTTCCCCTTCCCTTCGCCCTACACCTCAGCCTCACGTATCACCGACGATAACGTTACGACAAATTCGCCTTCCGTTGCGATATAAAAGGTATGAAAAGTCACGCTTCCTTTGGGTCCTTTTGTTTTCTCTGTATAGTTGTCATTGGGGGACAAGGTTTTTTTTTGCCTTCGTTTGGTTGGTTTTTCCCCTGCATCTTTCCATTTCCTTCCCTTTTTGGGGCCGAAACATTTCCTATATTCTTCACCCCCCCTCCCCCCACTTGCCCTCTGCCCCATCCCCCATCGACATCAAGCGAGATGCTTTTTTCGGTCTGGGATTCCGGTGTTTTTGGGAAATTGTAGTTGATTTAGTTTTGTTTCCTCCACGTGTTTCTTGTCTTCTGACGTGTTTCGGGTAGTCATAAAGGGGTTTTCAAACGTCCAAAAGCAGTGCCGTCTGTCGCGAACCCTCGGGTCCGGTTCATCAAGTTTACATTGCTGTCCCTGACATCAGTTGGGTTAATTGGTATTATCTCTTTTACTCTTTTACTCTTTGATCTGATTGGTCTTTTCACTATGAGGGACCAGTTAAAAGCTATTTTTGGCAGAGTAATTGAATAGTGTGGCTCTGCTCGCTACGCTGTTTGCAGCTGCTAACACTGGTTCGCCACCATAGATTGAATTAAACGGCTCTTGACCTTTCGGTTGGTGTTAAGATGGCGACTCGAATGACATTGTACAAGTTAGTTGTATTAGGGGACGGAGGAGTGGGGAAAACCGCCTTGACGATACAGGTTTGTAGGACCTCGGGGATCCCTGTTTTCCATTTTTAACCCCTCGCGAAAGAGGATTTGACTCTGACAGATTAACGATAGCTTTGTCTGAATCACTTTGTCGAGACGTACGACCCTACAATCGAAGATTCCTATCGGAAGCAGGTAGTCATCGATAACACTGCCTGCATGTTGGAAGTACTAGATACCGCTGGTCAGGAAGAGTACACAGCGCTCAGGGATCAATGGATCAGGGATGGCGAAGGATTTGTGCTTGTATACAGCATCTCCTCCCGATCAAGCTTTACCAGGATACCACGATTTCACGGGCAAATATTACGGGTGAAGGAATCTTCAGCGACTGGTGTGTCAATCGGAGTCGTGGGGTCTTCATTTCACTAACGGGTTCTAGGTGGAAATTACTCCGCTAACAATAATGTTCCGATAATGCTTGTGGGCAACAAATCCGACAGGGTCACTGAACGAGAAGTCTCGACACAGGAAGGCCATGCGATGGCTAGGGACCTTGGATGTGAATTTGTTGAGGCTTCCGCGAAGAATTGCGTGAATGTCGAGCGGGCGTTTTACGATGTTGTGAGGATTCTCCGAAGACAGCGACAAATCATTGCGAAGAGGACTCAAGGCCCTGGCATCAATGACGGAAATGAACCTCAAAGTGGCAGACCCGGTGGCAAGAACAGGAGAGGTCCTGGAAGGGGGAGGAAGCCTGTTTGTATCATTCTGTGAACGTGTTTCGCTTAGTAGCTAATGGGTACCTCTCTTCTACCTTTTTGTTATTTCCCATAGCTCGAGGTGAGTCTTACAAACACTTGAACAATATGGAACACTTTGTTCACATTTCATCTTGATTTTCTTTGCAAATGGGAGGGTATGTTACGTATGAAGTTACTATTTTTTTATATCTTTTCTCCCTTTTTATTTTCACGTCAATTTTTACTTTTTTTTTTTTTTTTCATTCTCACGCTGTCCTTATTGAAACCTGGCGTCACGATTTATGCTTGTCGGGGTTTTTTTATTGTTCCATGCTCGGTGTTGAGATTGGTTCTTTTTGTCTACTTTTTACTACTATATTTAGGGAGAAAAAAGCCTTTTTTTCATTTTGTTTCCTTTTTTCCCTTTTCCTTTTATAACGCTGATGTCTAGTAAGTAAGGGGAAGTAGTGCGAAGCGAAGTATTGATTGGATTGGGGTTGGAATTGGGGGTTGGTGCGGGGTGGTAGATCTGGGGGTAGTTGTCGAGTGGGTGGGGGAGGGAGGGGAAGAGCGAATCTCATTGGTTTATACCCTTCGCCTTTGGTAGCGTGTTGTGATAGTGTGCGGTTGTGATTGTATCGTAAGAGGGATCAACTGTCAGCAGGGTCGGGAGGATATGCGGGACCTTGACAGAGACCTGGTGATGGTCTCATGTTTTCCTGTAGTGTTATTTCCGATGTGACGCCGAATGCCGTGATGTAATGAGCAGGTTCCCGGCTCCGTATTCACCATCCCTTCCAGCAGACTACCATCACGCCCCCCCCCCCTCGCCAGACAACTATGCGATGGTGCATACCCGGTACTTTGCGTGGTACGCCAAACATATTGGAATACTACCCAACCAGTCCCTCCGCCAACTAAGCTCGGAGAAACGGAACGAGTGAGCGGTTGTGAGTACGCATCGGATTCACCCCAATCCCATACCACACCACGGCCAACTGCGGTGCTGTACTGCGCAGATACAACGTGGGTTATGCCAGTTTGGCAGGGCGGTGAGGTGGGGCCCCGCATCTTCTGGTGGAGCGGAGTGGGGGGGGGGTGGCGGACAGCGCCTTCCCACCCCAGAAGCGCTCATATCCCCCCCCCCTCCTTCACAACGAAATCTGGCCAACTGGTCCACCCAAAAACCTAGAGTAACCAGCTAAAGACCGTAGGATTATGCTAGGAGAGCACGCTGTCCGGCCGAGCGGCGGAGGGGGATGTTGGCTTCCTTCTCTCTCTCTCTCTCTCTCTGGTGTTGGGGTTCTCAGAGTGCCCGCGAGTGTGGCATTGTATTGCAGTGCTTGTTTGTCTATTTGTATCAGCCGGAGCATCCGATGGACTGAGATGCCGATGCGTGCCCAGCACGCATAATGGCTGGTGGACCCGTAGTTTGAAGGGCACAATGGATAGAGGGGTGAAGAGGGTTCCTGAAGGGGGTCGGGGGTCGGGGGTAGGGGCCGGGATGTTGGGTTTGCGTGGGTCGGTCGGGGTTGTGGAGTCGAGTGATTGGCTGTGATAAATGTTTTTTTTTGTTTCGGTTGAGTGGTGAATGTGGTTGATGGATGAGCGAAGGAGGGCTTGGGGATTTACGGGTGTTTCGAAGTTTGTGCTGGGCACTGTGCGAGATGTTGTATGATACCCTACAGTATCGAGTTGGCTTGATTGCGCGCGATGCACGATACGATATTATAAACCCCGACCATCCCGACCCGCATCGGCTCCACCGGAGGCCGAAGCGACAGTTGGGAGTGGGAATCATCCCATGCAAGCCGGGGGAAATGAACGGAAAAAAGACAAACAAAAAAACAAAAAAAACGCCAAACACCACCCCACCACCCAAACCGGACCCGAGCACAAAAAAAAAACGCCGAAAAGAAGGATCCCCCCCCCTACCCTCCCTCCTCAAACCACCGCAACCAAAACCGCAACTGCGATCCCACCGACCGCTTGCCGCCAATTATTCACCAATTTTGTGCCGGCCATGGAAGACGTTCTTTGCAAGGGTGATGTCCCATCCTCACGTTGGGGGGTGCTATTATTATTATTCCTGTTAGCCTAGTGCGCAGCGAGGGCGGAGGAGAGGAGGTGGGGAGGTGGGGAGGAACTTCAATTTCTGGGGGTCGAATAGGATGCTTTGTTCTTCTGTTTTATCCACCAGGCTTGCCATTGTTGCCCGCGGTTGGAGGGAGGAGAGGAGGAGGAAGAGGAGGAACGTTGTTGTCGGGTTTTGGAATTTCATTTTTCTCTTGTCCTTTTTTTTTTTTTTTTTTTTTTTGGTTGGTTGGTTGGTTGGTTGGGTTTTGGGGAATTCTTTGGATAAATATCTGTATGCGTGGTATGCGTGCTGGAGGGGGGAGGGGGGGTAAATAAGGCTGAGGAGGGACGGGGAGAAAGAAAGATAACGGTTCAGCTTGATAACCGTATCGTCGGTTCGTTGATCCGGCACCGTGTAATACTTTTGATAATACGAGTGAATGCTCGAGCAGTGAGGAGTTTTGCTGTACTGTACGAGTACTGTACAGTACTCGTATGTTAAGTATGCATGTATGCATGTATGTATGTTTGTATGATGTATGCATGTAGGATATTGATATGATAGTTCCCTGCACGGTGTTATGGTAACTGCGCGGTACAGTAATCAGCGTATTATCTCCACCCCCCTTCCCGCGAGTCAGAGTTGGTACCAGTACGAGTACTCGTATTAGGGGGTGAGTCCGCGCTAAGCTGAGTTGAGCTGAATTATTATTATTATTAAAAATTTTCGTGCGCACCAACACACCCACACACCCACCTACGGTAACTTGACCCCGATCGCCTCATCACAAGGACTTGAAGACCCGCTGCCATGTTCCAAAAAAAAAACCCCCGAAGTGGGTGGAAAGAAACTTTGCTCGTCCGAGCGGATTCTGATTCGTTCCGGGATCCGATGGAGGAATTGTTATTCCTTCTTCCCGTTCTCTCTCACCCACTCTTTTCTTTTTCCCTTCCTGCCCTTTCTCGTCGAGTTTTTTTCTTTCCTTTTTTCTTTAGCGTCCGGAGGGGGTTTAGGTAGGTCTTGTCATACTTCGAGTACGGGCCAAACACCGGTACGGTATGTTGATCTTCCATCATACTGTATAATAATACTTGGGGTTTCGTTTTACTCGAGTCATGGTACGTGCCCTATCCTGATCGGGTTCGCGGGAATTGTGGTCTCATCATAGCTCTTGCCTCGCTGTGCTTTAAGGGGGGCATTGGTTTCCATTGGCGAGGAGGGTATGTGAATGTGGGGTCCTTAGTGTAACCGGTTGGTACAAGTACAGTACTCGAGTATCATGGGGTATATAGGTGGAGCTGTGTATTGGATTCCGTGGGCCGCGTACCGGTACTGGGGCGATACCGGGTGGTTGGGTGGACGTCTGACTGTTTTCACCTGTATCGTGGGTCCACCGACGGTACTGGTACAAGCAGGTCGGCTTTCGCTCCCGCCGCGAAAAACGAGTTTCTAGAATTGGGTTCGGTTGATCCCGGCTTTGGATAAAGTATAATACGCCGCTGATGAATGGCAACGTGAGGCGGAGTTGGGAAGGGAAAATATTGTCCCGAGGTCGAATGGGGGCTATTTAGCGCACCAGGACCGTGGATGGATCTCCTTTCCTATTCTGTCTTTGTCTCATCGAGACTTTGCTCGACGAAGGGCGGATATCTGCGGTTTGCATACCGGTGCTGTAACGTGGAAGCTCGAATGGAGGATAAATGTGCGAGGACGTTGTAGTTGCCTCTCCTAGTAAGGCGCTGTGCATGGTATTGTAACTGTGTGCATATTCCTTTTGTCTGCTCGCACTCGAGCACTCGTACTTGTACTGTACCGGTATGATACGGTGCGGTTGTTTCGGTAGGTTGGAGTTTGCCTAGCGCAGCCGAGGAGGGGAATGCCAACGCCCTACTGTAAATTCTGGGCAAGCTCGACTCCGCTGCTACCATACCGGTACTCAAGTACCCGTATTCTCTCTCCCCCATGGCGGTTCCTATCCCCCCGAAAAGCGTATTGCCACAGGATTAGGCCTTAGGAGAGCTAGTGGCTGCCCTCAGAAGATAGCCGCGGGTCGGGTTTGCCTGGAGTTCACGGTGCCGCTGTACTCTATTCGAGCTCTTACCATTGTGATTCTGTTGGGGAGGGGGGTATAGTCTGGCACTGCACGGTAATCGATTGATTTTTCTGCCGGCGGTCTACCAACACATCACAGGCCCGAGTCGGGTGCTGGGGCTGAACGTACGAGTAATTATTATTGCAAGCATGATACCGTACTTGCAATGGGGCTCTTGGTACTCGAGTAACTAGTACAGTACAGTATGAAGCGTTTCCGCTGCTTGTGTCATATTATCATGGGATATGGAATGTTAGGTGGGTAAAACGTTCTGCGGGACCCCCCACTCGGGCCAACTATGGTCATGGGGTTTCTTCTGTATCATATTATTATCGTAGTCTATCCTCTGGGCTTTTTTTTTTTTTGTTGATGGGAAGTGAGAGGGTGGGTTGCGGGGCTCTCTCGCTCTAGGCCGGGTTTGTTGGTGTACTGTATTGTGGCGGGGATGGGCTGTTGTGGCGCTGTGGCTTGGTCAGAGAGATCTCTCTTGGGAGGGTTGGCTTAGTGGCTACGAGTACCGGTAGTATGGTATCGTACAAATACCAGTCCCTTGGGTGGGCTACCGTTAGCTATTTATCCTCCTCTCGGCTCACACACTACGCAGGTTGCATGACAAAGTCATCGTGCAAACGGAATCAAAGTTTCACTACATCATTGACTCCAGCCAGTACCGGTATTTCCATCCGTACGGTACAAGCTTCTGTCTGGATATCCCCATCCAACTGGTTTCTAGGTGTGATATCCGGGATCTGTCTATCAAGGACCCGGGAATCTTAAGCTCTCGAGCCCGGTTGGAAGGAATCTCACGACGGGCGCTGATGGACTCGGTCGGCTTGTGGTCAAAACCGGGATAAAGCGATACTAAGGGTTCTGTTTCCGGAAGCGTCCTCTGAAATTTGAAACCCGTTCCTGAGGCGTCTCGAGGATCTTGTTTTGGGCGCAAGGTGGATTCCGGTGCGGTAGATGTGCCCGTTAGAGGCGGTCCAAAAGTGATCGTTGTCGTGTGGCCCAAGAAGGAGATCCACCAGTAGGAGTGAGAAAATTTGTATCATAGTTATTATGTGAGCATAGGGAGTGATCCACTGCGCCCAATTGGGCAAAAAATTGGGAAAAATATATCATAATAAATTCTGCCCTGCGTCTCTAAGTATGATAGATATATCATATGTGCCAAGATGTGATAAGCAGATCGTAGGGTTTGTGATGGCTCGCGCAGTACGAGTGCTGTATCTCGGGTACCGGGGGCTCTCCCTCTCCATGGCTTGATGGACCTATCATGTTGAGAGGATTTCGCTCTAGCCACCGGGGCGGGGGTTTAGTAGGCCTTTGCGGACGCCCCAAGTGCCCGTGCGGCCGAGCTGCAGACGGATACGGTACTGTACATGTATGCTGGCAACTCCCACCCAAAGTGTCCGGCTTTAATTCGGCCGCGTGAGGGCTCGAGTATCGGTATAGTCCTAACTGTATCTATGGCTATGGAGAAGGTTTGTGGGTGAACTGTCCTATCAGTATTTGGTCTGCAAGATGAAAGTTCGTCAAAGTAGGGTAACGGGTGGGTTACTCGTTATTGGTCTTGTTTGTCACCAGCCCATTTTCGGCAGAGGTGTGGTGGCATCGTCCCCCCCAGGCCAGGCCGTTTTGGCTCTGACGGTGCGGTACGGTAGTGAACGTTTTGGCTCCGGAGCCCCCTCGCCATCCCATCTCTACTCGAGTAAAGTTATGACATCTTGCGCACTCGGGTACCGTACTTATGCAAGGAGGGAGGCCTTGGGGCCTTGGGGTGGCAAACCTTATTGGGATTTTATGTTGTGGCACCAGGATATTTCAACTTTCGGTTGATAAGCTCATGACTGGGGTTGTCTAGACTAGACGCTCAGCCATATTTGAGGTTGAGGGAATGGAGGCGCCAAGAAGCAATTGGTTCCTCGTGTGGTACTGTGCGGGCATGGGTATCGTGTGGTACTCTACGATACCTGTATTCTGCAGGGCCAAGGAGAGTGGTGCAGAGAATTTGGTCAAGATGCTGAAATATTAAATTATCGATGGTGGCGATTGTGGTATGGGACCGGTACGAGTACTTGTACGATGAGTCAATTTATTTCGACCCCTCCTGGCCCGCCTGGTTTCTCCCTGTGGCTTATGGCACGATAGCCTGGTTGTCAGGTTGTCTACTGGTGGATTTCTAGAGTCACTGGTTTTCCTGGTTAACCACGCCCGGCTCGCCGATCTTCAGCACCTTTCATTAGTCTACTGGGGCCAGTGCTCGTACTCTGCTCTACGAGTACATGTCGACAACTGATCGCTCAGGAGCTGACAGTGCTGGGATGACGCGGGAGCAAAAAACTTAAAAAGCTCGTAAGGCATCCAGCGGATTTTTAGGCAGCACTCTTGTGGTGATCGATCTCCCAGGACGTACTGGTACGAGTACAGTACGGTAGTGGGGAGCTAGAGTCTGAATGTTACTATGGGATTTTATTACATGTATCATGACATGCCCCAGGGCCAAGTTCTCTACTCGCACCTGTTCGAGTACGTCGCAAGTTCTGGGGAGATGTTTTCGCACTATACGTGATGAGGATCGTTTTGCACGAGTACGGTGCCGGTGCTCGAACTTCTGGCCTAACCGTGCCAAGGTTCCCGCCACTTCGAAAGACGCTAGGCGACCTTCGAAGATTGACGGCACTCCTACAGAGTGCTGGACAGTTCAACCAGATGGACAGCTCAATGGAACTTTTATTATACATGAGTAGAATAATTGAAATTGTCAATCACAGAATGCCCAACTTTGTGAAACAAATCCTTTTGAAGCTTAAGCTTCTTATTCCTATCCCTCACTACTGCTCGCATTTGCTTAGAAATTTCCTTCCATTGTTTCTTGACCTTCTTATCTGCTGCTCTTGTGATCACATCAAGTGCTCACAGTGCCTGCTGAACCTGCTTTTCAATGCTGTCCTGCTTTTTCTGCTGCACAATTGCCCTTGCCTCATCAACATACATAGTCCCACCCTTCTGAAGAGATCTTCGGCTCCGTTTTTGTCTTGTAGCACAGGCAAGTTTAGCAGCTTTTGTTTGTGTAAGATCGTCAAGTGCCTGTGCAACTGTATGTGCCTGTGCAAGGCTACCCTTAATGAACATTCGATGACTCTTGCTCGTCGATGGTGAGAGTTGGCCAAGGTCTGATAAAAGACCACCTGCATGTCTTTTAAGAGACCGAATAGTTTGGGAGGTTGTAGGCAGGGGTTCCACATGTGACGGAGGTGTAGATGGAGTTTGGGTATTCTGGAATTCCTGCTCCATAAGCTTCCTGAGTATGATATCGGGATTAAAGGGAATTAATCCTGTCTTTCAGAAGTCAGAACAAATTGTTATAGGCTTGAATGTAAGAGAACAGATAGAGTTGAGTGCAGTCAAAAATTCAATCTTGTCAAACTCAGAACAGCCGCTTTGTGTCGCAGAATCAACAGCCTCTGCATGGTAATGTTTATAAGGCTGGAACACAACAACATCAAGCGGCTGTAATAAATGAGTACAATGAGGAGGAAAACAAAATAGTAAAATCTTGTAATCATCACAAAACTGTATAAACGCTCTTGTACAATGTGAATCATGTCTATCGAGAAGAAGCAATCTCCAAGCTCCAACTTGCCGGTGACTAGAGCACTTTTCGAAATGGTAAAGCCAGTCCATGGCATGCATATCATTTGAATATCTGATTTATGAAACCCTGACCAAGATATCACCAGGCAGATCAGTCTGCAAATACCAATCTTCCATATGAAGTATGCCAGGAACAATAACTATAGGGGAAAGTACCACACTATCACTCCTAATCGTTTCAATTACTGTTACTAACTCGCGATGACTTAAACTAGCTATATACATTGGATGTGTTGGCTCCTGGGTCACTATCCACTGGTCCTTCCCAATGTTGATCCTAAATCCTGATTCGTCGATGTTAAAGAAATCAACATCCAAAATCTCCTTTGCATCTATCGCTTTCTTATACCGAAGAAATCAATCATGGAGATCATCACTATGATGTGCTCTTTTGTGATCCACTTCAAGAGATTTCTGTTTTTGGATCTTGTATTTGGGATGTTGGGAGAGGAACTGGCGAGTCTACTTCTCACTCACACTTGGTGGCGTAATTGTGGGATCTGAATGTGAGTGAAGGAGGATTGAGTTTGCATATTTGCTAATGAGATAATAGCGTGGTGGGATTCCTATCTCATCCAGTTGATTTAGATACTGATATAAGCCCATCTCTTGGGCTTCACTCAGTTTCCTATTTGGTGAAACTTGCTCTTGATGAGATTGCTGACCATTCCACCATGCATGGAGGAGCTCTTTAGGGACATTGAACTCCTGTGCAACAGCAGACACATTCGGATTTCCTCTGTTGAGGACCTCAATTGCTTCTTGGATTTGGGCTTCAATTGTGGAGTAAGCTTCAGTGGACATAATGGGGTTTGGTGGAACAGGGGGTGGTTGTGAGGGATGAATAGTGATGGACTTAGTGTAGTTCTGTTGAGCTGTCCATCTCGTTGAACTGTCCGGCATTCCTACAGAGTGCCGTCAATCTTCGAAGGTCGCCTAGCGTCTTTCGAAGTGGCGGGAACCTTGGCACGGTTAGCGATCAACTGTGAGTCACGATTCCTTGTGCTCGGGCGGTCGGGTCATTTTGGCACTTATTTTTTTAGTCGGAATCTCACAAATTTCGAGTTACAAATTATGTTCGGGCACGCTAGGAAACAAGACATTTCGACTCAGAACTTGGATATTCCGAATAAAACAGGTGCCGAATGATTCTACGGTACTATACTGTAATTGCTGGAATTTTTCTACGGACCCGATAGGCTGCATCGGGCGTGGTCAATCAATAGTGCGGGTGTGGACAGTTATGGAGGGCTTAAACGATCAGCTCTACTTGTACTGCACTCCTACTTGCGCACGGTATCATACTTCGTGGGACTTGTATGATGTTGTACAACCACCTTTGGCCGTGCTCAAGTATGCGCGTTGCGGTTGTGCACAGCCCGCACCAATGGGTCTCCTCTTTAACAGCGCACTCCCATTTCTCTTTCTTATTCGTACCCCGCCTTCCACTTCTTGATACTAGTATCGTCTAATCCGATACTACGCTTCTATTTCTTCTCCGCCACCTCTATTCAAACCTTCATCCCTAGTTTTCGCATCTCAAACCCCTCTCCTGGATCACGGGCGAACGAAAATAACCGACATGAGCTCAAGCTCTCCCCCACCAAATAATCCCACCCTAACCCTACTTGTGGAACCCGATGGCGTAGGCGATTTCGAAAGGCACAGCGTAGAGTAATCACCCCTCATCGAATCCTTTCGTGAAATAGCTGCTAAACGGGACAGCGTGGTTGTGGTCCACGGGTTGAATGGAGATTACAAGAAAACTTGGGCCCACGGTCAGGA